AATGCAAAAAAAGCAGAGGTCCCACTCGGATAATATAGAAAAACCGAATTCGTTATATAAAGAATGCACAGTAGCGTCAATATGTTGTTCTTTTACTAGCGGACTACTCTTTGAGGCTGAAGTTCTGTATTTGAGACGGCAGAATGGATCGAAATAGATTTTAGGAAACTCAGTGAAGAGTTTCTTCTGGAATCTGGAAGAGAACTTCTAGAACTTGGGCGTATTATTCGAACGGTATTTAAGCAAGTGTTAGAAAAAGAACTGAATTGCTTTAATATGAGTTCTGCTATGGTGATATTAGCGTTGCATAATTAGCAGTTAATGTACACCTGCGGTACACATTTTATACCAATATAATCAATCACCTTGTTCGCAACATCTCAGTACAATGCTGTTTCTAAAAATATCAGCACTCCTCAAGTTCATTGTGAGTCCAACGATTCTATTCATCAATAATCTCACAGAAACAACATCTCTATGAAACATTTTATAGAAAAGTTTGCAGTATTAAAAAATCTTACAAAAAACTAAGGCAGAGCTTTAGCTGTTCTCGAATAAAATCATTGCACATGTGACGACTAGGTTTTATTTTCAGAATCGCCATCAAGTGTGGCTTCGGATGACTAGCGCCTTTGACTAACAGCAATGGCAAGCTAGAAGGAACCGGCCATGTACGCACCGAACCACTATAACAGCAATATAGCTATTATCAAATGTTTATTATTATTATTTAAAATACTGTTTATAGAAATCACGTTGAAATTGGGAACTGTTTACGTCCATATATATAGTCTTTTAGTTCGGGCCACCTTTACCGCCTTTATAGCCTGCTTACTTGGAGCGCGACTTCGCAAGCACTTACTGTATCGGTGAAAAGATCACGTGGAATAAGCTGCTAATATCTATAATAGGTATTATTATATAATTGTTATAAAATAGCAAAGTCTGCTTCGTCTAAATTGAGCTCGTATTCTCGAATATGCGGTCAGCTTAAGCTCTTACAGATATTCACAATCGTGGCAGTGCACCTAATACGAGCGTTCCTTCCTGCTTAATGTGTGCTTAATATTCGAAATAATCATAATTCCATTGATATGCAAGGTGTATCCGTGTGTCTGTCTGTGAACCTTAATGAACCCGTACGAGCCACTAACGAGCGATTAACTAAATATTGTGAATTGAATCCAAAATGTTCAGGAAATTACCTGCGTTTAACATAGGTCAAAATTACGTTGAAATTGAGGTGTTGTACTGTAAAGATGCACTGAGAGAGTTGTAGCATTTAAAAATGCCGCCACTAACGTCCGGTCTTTATTTCACCTCCTCTCCTCTGCGATTCGGCTGCAACTGATTCAAATGAAATTAGGCGAGAGGAACGTTTCATTTCGCAAAAGTTTGGGATTTCTGTTTTCTAGCATAGGTTCCCCAATCGCAAACTTTATCAATACATCTGTTCAGCAATAAAAGCATTCGATAGGGATTAGACTGATTTTCAAATGATTTGTTTTCTATTATGTCGATAACATGTCTGTATTCTAAAATTAACTTCTAATTTCACAACAATAACGGACATTACTTGTTGCGAGGCTGTTAAGCGAGAAGTGCGCTGATGCGTAACACTTATGGTCTGCAGCTTTCACTTTTAAAAATTACTGTGACATCTATCGTTGTTAGGTAGAAATAGACGAGGTGTGGAAGTCTCTGTTCTCATTGCCTTTATGCAGGATGGCAGCGTAAAGTCTAGGGAATTTCTTTACGTCACTTGTTGATAACACGCTGTACTTAGATGAAAATAGGCATCTGAACGAAATGGTTTTTACTCATTAACAATTAGTCCAAATACGTCATATAAATGATTCAACAGACTTCATTTCGTAGACTGATTGAGGACCAACGATAGAAAACAAATGCTTAAATGCAAAAAGCTCAGAAGTCTGAAAAAAGGCAAAAGTGGGGTGAAAGACTGAAAAGGCTAAACATTAGGGTTCATCTGTTAAGCCAATTAGTGAATTCTGTCACCTGATTTAGAATATTTTAAAAAACTAGATCACGGGCATAGGTGAAGTTGTGCAGATCCACGTCCTACACACCTTAAAATGCTTTTGCGAATCTGATAAGTATTTTCTGTGAGGAGAATGAAATTTTTCGATGTAAATTTTGCAATAATGTTATTATAGGGATTACAGCGCTGGGTAAATTTCAACGAATACTATTTATTGCAACTAAGAATGTATCAAAACACTAAGGAACAGTTCAGCTTTATCTGCGGCCATAATCCGAAGGCGCGACCTACGCTTTTCCTGATATTGTTAGAACAAACACGTACTCCTAAAAAATGCGACATATAGTAAACAGAAAATCATGACGAACTAACAAGACAGCTGTCCATCAACGGAATATAAGAACATCCTAAGGCCGAAATTACTTGAAAAAAAGGCAAAAAATATGCAAACTTCGACGAAAACAATTATGCAAAGCGGCAATCAAGCATTCGTCAAATGACAAGATTCACAACCTGTATGTACTTCACTCCTCGCTTATGCGTAAGTAAAGTCAATACAAATTGCCTTTCATAGTTAAAACTACCTCCCTTTTGAAGAAATCGACCGCAGCTGTAGCCACCTTTGAGCCTGAACTACTAGAAACTGCGGAATATAACCACTTCATTTAAGGCTACCGGTGATAGAGAAAAAATAGCTTCATCCTGTTGTGCTTTGAAAATATTTTCGAAATTACTGATTATAGGCGTCACTTAACGCTATTATTTTTTGAAAGATTCTCTTGTTTGTATCTTCTTTGTTTGTGTCACGAAATTGCAGTATCGGGGCTCTTTTAATATCGGGTGTAGAAAATCGTCGAAGAAGTGGAGTAACCCACCTCCGTATATTTTGTTCCACGGGTATTCCAAGTCTCTAGCCTCTGGGATGTACTTGCTTTCTAGACCTGTGACTTGCCCTTCGTTTTCCTAGTCAGATTTGTCCTGTCTCTGGTCCATTGGTTCAAGGTAGGAACAGCAAAAAGCGGGCTCACATTTCGTATGAAACAAAACTCGTGCATTTGGGCTCGTCCTTCGAAACCAGCCTCCAACGCTACAGTATAATTGTATATATAAACCTGTTAAAAGAACCCTGCTTAACTTTTCTTCTGATTTGTAGGTCAATTGAAACAAACATGATTTCTTTGTAAAAATTTAGTATCAAGTTTTGCCTATGAAATTAAAGAAACTGCATTAGAAGTTTGCAAATACTCGTCTTTACATGTGCATTAAGTAGAATTGGTCAATTATTCTATCAGGTTGTTTGAAAAGCAGTGACGATTTTTTCCAATGTCTATACCCTTCCCACGCTTGTTTGTCTTTATATGCCATTCAAAACAACTCTTTTCTTCCATGAGTCTGTTGCAATTCCAGTGTGTGGTAAGCAGAACTTCATCTTATATTCAGGCTTTAAAAATGTATGAGAAGATGCATTTTCGACACCTACTATAGTCTGCTTTTTGTCAAGGTCAAAACACTGCCGAAAGAGCCCGGGATATTTGTGTCGCGCAGAATGTGGACCTGAGGCCAAGGAGTACTATTTAAGAGTTGCTTGTTAATGGTATTTTAAAAACGAAGGGTGCAGTTTGCTCTATTTAGGTATCCGAGGTGGATGAGGACAGCCTCGACGCACTTTTGAAGGAAGGTTATCGACAATTATCTTACAAATTATTTAACAAAATCAGTTGCGGCTATTTTTAGTTACTTCTACTTGAAAGCATTTATTCAAAAATTAGGAGCCTGAGTACCTTGGGAACTAGGTGATGCGCACGACTTCTTTTCTCACATCACGCGTATCACCAAACAATACGCGGCTACAATGGCCGATTCCTACATATAATTATTATTATTTTCTAGTCAGTATAAAACAAAAGTGAAAAATTACCTCTGGGAATACATTGAAGCTCAACATTCAGCCAGAACTCGATTAAAAAAAATATTGACTTGCTTTTAACGGGACCGAATGGGTTTTATAGGTTAATAAATATTCGACACAACCAGAACGGTAAGGATCAATAAATAGTCCAGTTGCATTGAGAGAAACAGGTTATCCACAAAGAGGACTCTATGTACATTGCAATAGAGTTTTTTTCTTTAAAAGACCGGAATTTTTTGGACAAAGGTCGTTAAAGCCGCGTTGCAAGAGCTTGTGTGGTAGGTCTTCTACAGCCATCACGATTCTCGGACTCTAATTGATGTCATTAGTTGGTAATTGTACAATACTAAGTAATAAAATTAAACTGGGAGAAAGGCTTCAACAGGAGGCTTGGAAATTTCTAGCGGGACGAAACAGATAAATCCCCTGAGAATAGACGACGTCCGTAGAGCGTAACGGCAACGGTACTAATTCCCTAGTAGTATTCGAAAAACATGCTGAAGAGAACGACCATTATTTTGCGAACGCTTAAGAAACGTTAGGGCTACAGGTCACGCAAGGCTTCACTAGAGAAATTACGAAGAAGTAAAATGACACTTGCATCTACCACAAATCAACCTCGTGCTCCTGTCGAGGGAAGGCACATCTACAGTTTACTATAGTGATGGTCGGGATTGTATTATGAAGGTAGTCCAGGAATCGTCTCTAAAAAGAGAACAATATAATTAAATTGCTTGGAGGCTATCACGGAAATGGGAAATCATCTTCAGATGGAAAAAAATAAAAAGATAACAATGCAATTAACACAATCGAAATTTTATATAAAGCCTTATGTTAGGTGTTTCTTTGTATCATTAAGCATAACAAGAAAAGCCATTGTTACTTTTTAAATTAAATGATTATTCTTAGGAGCAGAAACTAGTTACAAAACAAATCCGCAACTTCGTTAATCTCAAGCAAAAATTATTAAACTTTTAGCGCACAAAAATTCGAACTATTCTATTATTTAACTTGATTTTTTGCTGACTTGGTAAATCCAAACATTCAAATTAAATTTGTTGCAATTTGATTTCTTAATAATCACACAGATTCACATTACTTGATAGTATTCTCAAATTTTCAACGATGTTGGCGAAACGCAAATTTTATTTGATTATCATTTGCCTGCACCTGATACACCAAAACACACCGATAATCGTTTTAGTTTCCATGTAGCAATATTCTTACGGTTCTTGGAAGTTCTGCCGAAAAGCAGGCTCGTCCTTCAAAGAGTAATTCATCCGACCTGTCGCGAATATCGGCCACTCGAACAAACTTAGTCGGACCGAAACCAGCAACAACTTCATACGCCGGGCCAATAAAGCATGAGTTCATCGGGTTGCCGTTCTGGAAGAAGAGTGACAGATGAGTTTTCACTTCGCGGCCGCTGATATCATATAGTGCAAAAATGCACCTCTTCTTCATCGGCCACGGTGAGAGCGAAGTGTTATTAGACATGGTCCTGACGAACACGTCGACATAACACTCATTGTCATGTTCGCTGATTTGACAGAAGAATCCGCAGGCGTATCCGCACACCTCCCAGGGCTCAACGTTACTCGTGATGGTCTTCTGTCTTTACTTCTCGTGTTCGTCTATGATCTTCTGCAAATCGACCCAGAAGTATTTCTTGGTTGCTACGCCAACCAGAGTGCGTAGTTGCAATTTCAGACTTACCACCTCATCGCGTAGACTGTGAAGTAAGCTCTCCGCTCCAAACGGACCATCTATTGATCCTTTTGAGGCTACGTCAGTCACATCGTGAGACTCTGCAGACTCCCACAGATGCTCCTTTATTTGCTCGAGCGTCCCCTCCCTTCCGCAGGAACACACGAAACGCATCTGTCGAAGCAAACTTGGCTTTATCTCGATGAGATCAGTAGTGACTTTTTTTTTGCACTCGAGACAGAACGCCTTCAACCCTGCACCTTCTTCCTCTTTGTGAACAATTGCGCATCCAGTACAGAAGGCATGCCCGCATGCGCAGAGATTCACTCGTGGAGAAAACGTGTTGCAGGCATCACAAGGACCCGACCGGGGCACATGCAAAAGGTAGATTGCGCACGACCAATTGGTCCTTCATCTCAATGAGGTCTGCAATCATTCTCCGTTTGCACTCGTTGCACATAACACGGAGTTGACCGTGTTCTTCCTGTTGAACGACAGGACATCCCACGCAATAGGCGTGTCCGCAGGCAGCAATATATAGACACGTGGACAAAACATATTACATGCATCGCATGGTGTTTGTCGGCGGCCGACGCTGCCCACTTTTGGGTGGCTTTTTTCGGTTGAGGCAGGCATAGCGGCGCCAGGCAGGTGCTTGCTGGCCTGCAACTGGAACAAACGAACGCTACGATCAGGCAGGAGTGTCATGTTTGTTGACACCGATGGCGACAATATGTCCTACATAATTATAATAATGACAACAAGTTAACTGTTAAATGTCGCCAATCATTCCCAAGCTGAAATAGGTATCTTAATTGACTCGCTAACAAGTTGACTAACAAGAAAGGTTTATTTTATGACTTTTCAAAACAAAAATTTCAAAACAGATGTTGGCCAGCATTTGCGGTGTGTGGATGGCCAGGTTTTTATAAGTGTGGTTAAAGAAGAGCCACAACACGTAATATGTAGTTTCAAATAAATTAACAAGGGTACGTGTATAAGTATAAGGTATAAGTAACCAATGGTAACTCGGAAGTAATCACAGTAGGTGATTTTTGTTAAAAGCAATACACACAAAGGGAGAGAAAAACCCTGTGTTTTGCCAGGCTTTCATACAGTGTTTAATCATGAATGCAGACAACACACGGCGGCACGCATCTCTCGAAAGCCTTTGTGAATATATCTTGAACGTATGAATTGTTTTGACTCTAACGCTTCTATTCCTACAAATTTGTTAACAAATTATTAGAAATGATCATTGTTCTGTTAGCGTTTCAAAATATATAGGAAATGATTTAGAATATCCACCACAGTAAAGAAGCTTCACTACATTAACGTACAAAAACATCACGGCACTGGCGTGCATCTCCAACAATACTTTCAATCTAACGACGATCGTGCATTTACGTTATTTAAAAAGAAACATCCTTCACAAGTATACATTTGCTGGGTAAACAGTTCCAAAAACCGTTGTTAGGCCAAAGCGAATAAACTCTTGTTAACTGTAGTAGGCTCAATGGTTACGGGAATTCGTGTAATGTGCTCCACGCAAGAAAATCACGATGAAGATCACCATGTCGCTGAGAAACTGTTGAGTGCAGTCTGAAGACCTATTGTCGTTTACGATTTCATACCTGAGACATAGGCCATACACCATGCGCCCGTGAAGAAGCTCGAAAGTTCTGGAAAGTTAGTTGCTTTTTGCTTTGTGACAAGTTCACCTTACAGCATACAGGAAGCTGAAGTTTGTTGTCACCACGGTATGGATTTAAAAGGTGCAAATAAATGCCTTATTGATCTATGCATCTAATCGCTTTGCAATGCGAACCGAATGGTTTTTTGCCCTGTCGCAATAGTGCATGGGACCGAACTGGGCCTATCCCAAATGTTGACATCTTAAAGAATGCATAAGAATACCATTTGTTTCGTAACAAGAGAAGAGCATTACTTGCAAAGTTGATCACACCCCACTGAATCTGACGGAGATAGCCTCACACAGTGAAGATCCTATCTTCGTTTAGTCGTGCGATGTTTAAATTTTTCAAAGCAACACTAAACATTAGCATCGGTTCCCATTTCTTAAGAATATCAATATCGCACTTACGCTCTAATCTTGAAATCAGATTTGGGTGCGTCGCGGCAGGGACGCTTCGTTGTATCAAAACAGATGAATAAGACAACACTGTGTGTATTAGATTCCGTGATTTCCCGAAACATATATAGCATTTTGACCGTAGTTTGGGAAAATATTTCCTATAGTTCAAGTTTTGTCCAGATGCCAAGCTACAACATTTTTCTGGTCAACCAGACTGAACGACTATTACATTTAGATAGCCTGAATTGAAATACTGTAGTGACTGTAAGGTTCAATCGCCAATTAATCAAAATCAAAAAATTAATCAAAAAAAAAAAAAAAAAAAAGCCTATTCACCCTGCTTCCTATTCTAATGTATAAGACAGGTGTGAGTTACCGCAATATATATACCACAGCACTGGTAGGCTGCCAATTTTTTAGGTTTTTGCCGGATGCAGGTGTTGAGAAATTTCATAGAATGGTTATCACTAGAAATGAGCAAAACGAATATCTTTACATTCACACAAATATTTCTATTAAGACGATAATACTAATAGTGCGCTTATAATAGTGAATAACATTATATATATATATATATACATATGGTTTCGATTTTGTTTGTTTCGGTACTCTATAAAAAGAGCATCGTTAAGCTCGTTCTGAAGATGTCGACGTAACGAATCAAAGGTTGTCATTAAAGGATAGATTTTTTTTCGTATTTTAAACCTATTTAGGCATCGCAATATTGTCGAATGTGACCATATATAAATTTTTAAGTCGTCAACTTTTTACACATGTAGCACCAAACGACAACGCGGTAAGCTCAACATTAGTGATCGCAAATCGGGGTGTGTACTCCCTGTGAAATCAAGCCATAACAAAAGAAAATTTGCTGTACTGTTCGAGTATCATAGGAGGTATAATTTTATTGATCATTAGGATGGGGGTTATTGTTGCTGAGGGCCAATAGAACCCGTTGATGATAGTGAGGTCGGTGACATCCAGTGGCTCCTTGTGGCTTCGTATCCCTGCAACGCGATTCTGTCTACGATTCAGTTAGTTGAAATTCAGCCGTTGTCGATGGATGAAC